GGGGAAGTCTGGGAACGTGAATGGCACTGAAGACTAAACTTACACTGAGTGAGCCACTCAACCCTACAGCTAAGAAAAATTCACCAAATAAACACAAAGACATACTTTATTCCTCATTCTACCTGAAGGACCAAACCATAAAGAGCCCAGAAGCTGTGTAAAAACGTGTGCTTAATATTTTAAACAGTCCTTGAAGTGGGTATCATATGAGACACTTTGAGGGTAAAATGAGCTAATTTGAGAGAAGCAGCAGGTTGCCATCAGACTGACTCTGATGTTTGGCTGAACGGCTGAGTGACTTCCTGGCTGCCTGCCCGGCTGTGCTAATTGATCTGCATGTTGCAAAATGTATACAAAGCTTTTTTCTTTCTTTCTTTTTTTATTTACACCAAAGAGAAAAACGAATGCAACAATCTACAGAAAACAAGTAATTTCTCCCCATTAGAAACTACAACTGGACCGGCCATTTTGTGTTTGTCTCTGTTTGTTTGTTTTTTTTCTGTTGTGGCAGATGGCTGCTCATCCTGAGCTGGGTTTGATGTTCAAAGTGAGTTTTTCCTTTCCAGTGTCACCTATGAGCTTGCTTAGTAATTTGTTTGTCTTTCAGTGACAGACTGCTGCATCCTAAATGCACAARAGGATGTAACTGCAGATCATTCCTCCCATCAGCTGTTAGAATCTATAACCATCACCGCTCCCAACAATCCTGACTACGAAGGAAATTTAGCTGTTGTGCTAAGTCCGGCGCATTTATATTCACAGAATATTGATTAATGTGCATTGTCCTTTTAAATAAATTAATGAAATGAAATGAARTGATAAGCATACATGTTTTGTGTTTGCACGCCAAACAACTCTACCTCTCAATCATTATATAAATAATAACCAGTGGCAACTGTACATTGTTTTCCTGTACTGGAACACTGAATTTTTGGAGGTAGACAACCTGTTCACTGAATTTCAAGACAAACCGATGTGTTTAGTCTGCTTACAAATGCTGTCAGCCATTAAAGATGTTAATATAAGTCGGCACTACAACACGTTGCACAAAGCTAAATATGAGAAGTTTATTGAAGTCGCAAATACAAAAACAACCGCGACTTTTTACCAGAACTACAACCACACAGGAGTCTGAACTTAGGTGTCTTATTCTGGTGTTTATTTTTTGTCTGCTTCAAACATTTTGTATTCATATTTATGAAACAAGAGGACAACTGTTRTACGTGCRTTTGAGCATGWAATATGTTAATTKCCTGAACTCTGTGTYRGTTTGTTAAACATATTATYTATCATTTATTAAACATTTTTAAAATGGCAGTTTTATTACATTTTGGTAAGTGTGAAGCACTAGGTGGTCCTCTGATGATGTCAACAGAAATTATAGCTCTTTCCATCATTTAAGTTGCCCAACACTGTATACTGTATATACACAAAATAACAAAATCCAATAATCTTAATACACCTCAGTGATGTTGAATGAGCTGACATAAGTAAATTCTAAAATTAACTKAACAGCAAACCTATACAAACCTAAGTCTGCAATGTTGGATTTAGTGAACTCAATTTGTCTTAATTGTTATGTTAAAAATAAATATGTAATTCTCTTTACATTTATACTCAGTTAAGTGGAACCAGTTGATATAACTTTAACATTTAACCTCAACACTTCATTTCTTAGAGTGGGAGGTTGTCAGGAAGTGAAGATTTGAGGCAATCATTATCCATGGAAATATGTACTGACAATATATTGACCCTTATAAAGCCTACCTGCAGCATTATTTGATTTGATTTGATTTGATTTATTGATTTAACAGGAAAAGATTACTAAAAATCAAGCCTGACTCAGCATAATTGCTGTTTTACAGCAGATTCCTGTTCTGCAGCACATAAAACGCTCAGAAATACAGCTTCACAATCACAACATTATACACCACAGACACAAAGACAAACAAGCATACCAGATTTGAAGAATAAAACATTTGTAACGACGTTATTTGCTTAATCTGTGAATCCTGGCACTGCTTTTTCCATTCAAAATGCTTAGTTCAAAAACAAAAAACTTTATGTTCAACTCCAGATGAGAATAATTTGGAGGAAACGGATCAGCCAAAAAGAGATTGTGAATTTTAAGACAATTTCATCATTTTCCACACTCTACTAATTAGGCTGTCTTCTGCTATAAATCTACTCAAATCTCCTCCCCACGTTTAGGATGTTCGCTCGTTAAGTTTTATGGTCGACACGGAGAAAATTCACTTCACAATAACTAAGATAACTTCCTCAGAACAACAATGGCCATTAGGAAGCAGGATCGGTGCCAAGGCTGACCTCGCTTTCATAGACGCCACGTTCTTCTCTGGCACTGTCTTGTCAGCTAAAACCTAACCTTTGCTATCATCTTGTAAAGTCTGCCCACCCAGTGGAGTCTTGTGCCAGCCCACCTTCCTTCCCTCCCCCTCGCTCCCTCAGAGACGTCGGGGGAGACGAGCGCGAGTGAAGACCCTACGCTGGCCCAGACGGCTGGCAGCGAACCAACTGCTGCCAAAGGTAATCAGAGGCAGATGGGAAACCTTTTGGTGACGAGAGCAAAGGGAACAAGTAAAGGAAGGAAGGGAGAGGAAAGGACAAGTGCAAAACCTATAGTGAGGCAGCAGAGTGGAAGCTCTTCAAACCGGCCAGCAGAGCCATTTTTCTGAGTGTTAACACCCTTAACTGAGCTGAAAAAAAGCCTTAATGTGCAGCTCGCTTCATTTCAAGAGCAAAGGGCAGGTACAGTAAARGGAGAGTTTACTTTAAAAGCACTGAGGGGTCTTTGTACTGTTGCAGCGTCCCTCGTGTGTGGAAACAACTAAAAGTCTTTCTCTCGTCCCCCGCCTCCTTCAGGCTTTTTCCCCAGTCATTTCCTGCACAAGCTAAACTCCCCCCTCCATTTTCATTACTTCTCCCTCCTCGCAATTTATTGTGGCGTTATTAAACAAGCTTGATATCGAGTGCTATTTTATTGCCACGAACTCTCTTTTCTTTTTTTTTTTTTTTTTTTTTTTTTGTTTATATAAACTCGAGAACACGAGGGGAAACGAGACTCCCCTAGTGTTGCACTTTGGAGCTTTCTAAGCCGAAAGATGTGTAGACAACAACAACATGCGTGCGCTTTCTCACACAGACGACCCTGTAAATTATTACCCCATTATATCCCGCACAGATACGCAGCTTTATTAAGTGCAGGCTGTCTAGCAGAGGTGACGGCATTGTACATCTTCCTGCGGCCTGTTGTGCAAAGCTTTCCCTCTGGGCTGTATCACTTGTGTAAAACAAAAACGGATGTTTGTCAGCTGGCCAAAAGAGAACTGACTCTGTTTTACTTGGACGGGCTTAGAGAAAAAAAAGAAAGAAAAAAAAGAAAGAAAGGAGCGAATAGCTGCAGCTGTGGCCAAGAGGGAAAGTAGTCTGAGCTGTAGACAAGCCACACAGCTTCCAACGCTATCATAGAAAAAAAAAAGAGGGTATGTAAGAGGTTTGTTAGGAGAAAGAAATGATCTGTATAATTAGCTGGTAATTCAAGGTTGAGATCGATTGGTTTAATGCAGTGAGACCAATTAAGGTATTCATCGCAACGTTATGACAATCRGTCAAGGTTAGGGCGTATGTGTCAAACTCAAGACCCGCGGGCAAAATGTAGCCCGCTCCAGCATTCTATGTGGCCCGCGTGAGCTTCAGAAAATGTATTAATGTCTTAAAATAATCTGCTTTAAAGCCAAAATTGACCGAAAACTACATCTTATTGTGTGTTGATTGTTTTACCTGTAAAATGACAACCTCACACCACAAGGWGGAGCTGCACAGGGTTCAAATGTAGCAGCGCAAAATCTCCATTTTGTTACTTTTTTCCCCAGATACGTTTTAGCTTTGTCCAAATTCAGGGAAGGACCCGGCCTATCCGGTCTATGTGGGCCGAGTCATTGGTCAGCCAAGAAGACTGGAAAATAATAGCTGTGAATTTGGACAGTCTA